CTCGAGGGAAAATCACTAGAAGTACAACAGCATTTTGTTTTCATTTTGAAAATCACTAGAAGCCCAAATCCGAACCCCATATGACAATTCTTTCCCCTCATCATCCATTCAATCAAAATCATTCCCTAAGTTCTAAATTCAAATCAAATCATTCCAAATCTAGCGTCATGCCAAACTCCACCACAAAATTTCATAAATTCAAAAATCCCTCCTCATGAAAGTTGACCAAGCCAAAGGGAAGCCATGAAGCCACTCCCAAGCAATAGGTGAGCCATAGAAAAGCCATGAGAGCCTTGCCACATCATCAAGCTATTAATGTCAAGAGGCCAAGCCACTTTGAAGCCTCTTTAAAAAGGTTTTTAACCCTTTTAATAAATCACTTAAACACATGCTTAGCCAAAATCCCTTGGATGGAAACCTCTCAACACCAATTTAGTTGACCTATCTGATCCTCTTCAGCCCAAGACCTGCCTTGGTGGCTGAACCCAATCCAAACCATGATTTGACCTAAATTGACCCAAAATAGACCTTCCCACATCCTATATTAATTCAACACCTTTACATAAGTCCAACCCCAATTGACTTCACCAAACCCAAGCCTTGAACTCCCTCAGTGGGATGGTGACCTCTCCCTGGCCGGCCAGCTACCTTGGCTGCCAGAAAAGCCACCCCAAAGTGCTCCACCTAGTCTAAAACTCAAAATTAAACCCATCCACTCTGTCTCATCCCAATTGAATTTTTGTACCTTGTTGTCATCCACATAAGCAACCTAGGGCACCCACGAATTGCCCTTGGTGGCCTCTCCTTCCCCCTCTATTTAAACCCACCCTCCATGGCCAAAGGAGGAGAACTTGAAATTTCTTAGGGAGACTCTGCCAAATTGCTTCCAGAGCTTCCTTAAGACCACTTGAGTTCAACCCAACCATCCCTAGCCATTCAAATCCACAGCTCGAGCTCAATTTTGGAGCTCAATCCCAAGGCCGAAACACAACACTCACCAAACCTCCACCAAATCCAAATTAATTACACCCACACCATCCCCACTGTGAGAGAGGAAGATTCCCTTTAAAAGCCCCATCACCAGAGCACCCTAAGGTGAACTTTGACTAGACCCCCAAATTGACTTTGGTTGAAATCATATATAGGTGATTCACCACTACTCAAGGCTCCATCCCTAGGCTCTTGGGACCCCCACAATGCTTTCAAAAGCATCCAATCGAGGCTTCCACTCTTGAACCAAGGTATTGAAACTTAACCCTAAACTGAGCTTCATTTGATTCTTCATGTCATTTGATTCTTATGTGCATAGAGTTGATTTAAGGGTTGATTAACCGCATGGATATGTTCTTCTAGTCAAAATTAGTCTATAGAAACAAACCACACTTAATTTGGTTAAGTATTGAGAGAGATATTAAGGTTTGAAGTTGGACGACTTGGGGATGATAAAGGGATGTCATCCGTTTCCACGTGTATTAGATGGACGGTCGTGATGAAGTCGGACGAGGAGATGGAGTGGAGCAGCGGGATGCGTGGCGGCTAAGACAGAAGGCGGTGCCAAACCAGAAGAAGCCGAGTGGAGCTTCAGATCTGCCTAGGATGACGCGACGCTTACTGGTTTAAGTAGAAAAAATAAGGATTTTCTTATTTACTTAAATAGCCATAACTTTAAAAATGAATAACTTTGTGTAGAAAAATCATAAAAATAAAATAAAAACACCCTATTGCTCAGTGAAGAGCGGAAAACAATGTGGAAATATTTTTCATGTCCATTTGATGCATATTTTATTTTTAATTAATTAAATGGTATTTTCATTTCTTTGATTCTCCATTTCCTTTGACATTTCACAATGACATGGGACCATAGGGCTTTTGATGTTTCTGTTGTTAGACATCTCTCCTGATTTTTCTAAGAACAAGGGGCATCTCTAACTAGAGATATTCAATAAAATTAATTTGGAGTAATTATAAATGTAAATGACATGAAAATTTTTCTCCACTATAACTTAATATTAGAGAAACTCCCCATAAAAAATTCATGTCAATTGGAGTTAATTTGATCACTAAAATGACTTTTTTAGAAAAAAAATGGCATTTTGGATATTAAAATAATCATAATAATTAAAATACAATTCAAAAAATCACTAAATTGATTTTAGGAGTTCCTTATGAGCAGAAGAACCGAAGAAAAATAAAATTGGAATTAAAATATAAACTTCATTTCTAAGATATTTTTGAGTATTTAAAATGATTAAAATTAATTAAAAATCATAAAAACTGCAAAGTTGTAAAAACACACTAAAATATCACATTTGGTTTCCTGATCACCTAGAACCAATTAAAATAATTTTAATAATTTTCTAAGTCAAGATATTAATTTTAAAAGGCTTAAAATATTTTTTTTCTAATTTTTCACTAAAATAATTCTAATAATTAAAATATAAACTAAAAAAATATGAAATTTGTTTCTTTGGGTTCCTTGGGCTTAGAGAGATTTAATATAAATATAAAACTTAATTTTCCATTTAAATATTATTTTGTATTTAATTAATACTCAAAATAAACAAATAATTTTAATAATTAAATTAAACTTCTAAAAATCATGAAAATTAGTCCAAGTGGTCCTCAAACCTAGGTAAATCTCTAATAATTTTCTTAAGGATAGAAGTTTTATTTTGATTGAGTTATTAAATTTTCATTGAAAATCCCTATTTTTTCATTATAAATAATTATAATAAATAAATAAATTCAGAAAAATCATATTTTCTCCTATGATATTTTAATTAACCCATGAATGAGGTAATGTAAAATTTCTAAGTCATTTGAGTCTAATTTAATGAATTATAGGGTGTTAAG